GGCAATCATCTGTTGCTCTACACTACCGATAAGTGGAATTCCAAAAACAATGACATGCGTTTCTCGCACAACAGCAGCAGGTTTCTGGGAAACGCTTTGCTGCAGAACAAAATATTAGCTGTAAAAACTGCTGCAGGACACAACGAGACAAAACGCGTCAGCACTTAAAGCAGGGAATGTCACTACACGGCTCAAAGGAAACACCTTAGGCCTAAGAGTACATTAAAACAATCACCCGACAAATAGTCGTACCCGTGTCTAAATTGATTATTGTATCTAAAAAGACCATGGTAATATTGAGCCTTGGTCAAAGTGGTCGTGTGTGTGAATGTAGCTTGCGTCACTCGATGCCTTCCCATCCACAAGCAAAGGGGCCTGCAGAGTGCAACAACCATGGCATTGTCAACATATTGTCAACGTTTGTCTTATCCAAACATACAAACTCGACGCCGTATTACTTTTTATTAGGTAACCATTAAAATGCATTGAAGCACGAGACTACATGCTATAGCCCACTTCTTATTTAAGCACGTCACCCCCCCCCCCGGCGCACATGATCCACAGTGTTCTTTTTTTCTACGGTAAAAAAACGTCACAGTTGCTGAAACTATCTGTCTTGTTGAAGAGGCGCATCGTATAACTGCATTACGCACCTTGGCATATCAAGACAGAGCGAAAGTGGGCTACCCATTCACCACCTATACCAGTAACCTAGGGACGAGGTGATTTATTCTGGCTGTAATTTTCTGCAAGAAAATGCGGCTTATGCCAAAAGCCACTTATGATCGAGCATTTTTTATTAACACAAGATTCACATAGGTCACATACACCATAGTACATTTTACGGTGAGTGATAGGCCAACTGGCAAAACCAAGCTGTCCATGTCGCCCGCCTAAAATTGTTCAGGCTGAGACACGTTGACCGACTGGCCCTACGGTGTTCGTCTGCAGGGAGAGGAATGTTGCAACTAAAGTCGAAACAAACAAAAACTACTTCAGGTGCCCCCCCCCCCAAGGCAGCTCGAAGGAAGAAGACGACGCTGGTAGATCCAACCTGTTGACCTCTCCTGCCCTCCCATCCACGACGTACTACAAACAGCCTCCTAAGTAGTATGCGTCCACCAGAGCACGTGCTTGATCCCTGAGACAGCTAAAAAAAAAAGACGACGACGCTCATAGAAAAAAGATTTCGGCCGCTTCTGCGCTCACCTCTGCGACCTAACAAACGGCCTCCTCAATCGTATACGTCCTCTTGCACGTACTTGCTCTCCGAGGCAGTTAAAAGAAGGACAATTATCTGATAGATCCACCTGTCATCCGCTCGTGCGCTACACTTCGCAACCTATTAAACGGCCTCCTCAATCGTATACGTCCTAATGCGCGTGCTTGCTCTCTGAGGCATTACAAGGAGGACGATTATCCTGAGAGATCCAACCTGTCATCAGCTCCTGTGCTTGGCTTCGCGACCTAATAAATGGCCTCCTCAATCGTATACGTCCTCCTGAACGTGCTTGTTTTCCCGAGGCCGATTAAGGAAGACGATTGTCCTGATATATTAACCTGTCATCCGCTCCTGCGCTCCACATCGCAACATATAAACAGCCTCCTAAATCGTATACGTCCTCGTGCACGTGCTTATTCCCGAGGCTATTAAAAGGAGGGCGATTATCCTGATAGATCAACCTGCCATCAGCTCCTGTGCTCAGCTTCGCGACCTAATAAACGGCCTCCTTAATCGTATACGTCCTCCTGAACGTGCTTCTTCCCCGAGGCAAATAAAATAAGGACGATTATCCTGATAGATACAACCTGTCATCCGCTCCTGCACTCACTTTCGTGCGACCTAAAAAACGGCCTCTTCAATCGTGCACCTCCTCCTGCACGAGCTTGTTCCCCGAGGCAGCTAAAAGGCACTAGAGAAGAGCCGTTAAGGGAAAGGTACGCAGTTCGCGGCAATCATCTGTTGCTCTACACTACCGATAAGTGGAATTCCAAAAACAATGACATGCGTTTCTCGCACAACAGCAGCAGGTTTCTGGGAAACGCTTTGCTGCAGAACAAAATATTAGCTGTAAAAACTGCTGCAGGACACAACGAGACAAAACGCGTCAGCACTTAAAGCAGGGAATGTCACTACACGGCTCAAAGGAAACACCTTAGGCCTAAGAGTACATTAAAACAATCACCCCACAAATAGTCGTACCCGTGTCTAAATTGATTATTGTATCTAAAAAGACCATGGTAATATTGAGCCTTGGTCAAAGTGGTCGTGTGTGTGAATGTAGCTTGCGTCACTCGATGCCTTCCCATCCACAAGCAAAGGGGCTGCAGAGTGCAACAACCATGGCATTGTCAACATATTGTCAACGTTTGTCTTATCCAAACATACAAAATCGACGCCGTATTACTTTTTATTAGGTACCCATTCAATGCATTGAAGCACGAGACTACGTGCGATAGCCCACTTCTTATTTAAGCACGTCACCTCCCCTCCCGGCGCACAGTATCGACAGTGTTCTTTTTTTCTACGGTAAAAAACGTCACAGTTGCTGAAACTATCTGTCTTGTTGAAGAGGCGCATCGTATAACTGCATTACGCACCTTGGCATATCAAGACAGAGCGAAAGTGGGCTACCCATTCACCACCTATACCAGTAACCTAGGGACGAGGTGATTTATTCTGGCTGTAATTTTCTGCAAGAAAATGCGGCTTATGCCAAAAGCCACTTATGATCGAGCATTTTTTATTAACACAAGATTCACATAGGTCACATACACCATAGTACATTTTACGGTGAGTGATAGGCCAACTGGCAAAACCAAAGCTGTCCATGTCGCCCGCCTAAAATTGTTCAGGCTGAGACACGTTGACCGACTGGCCCTACGGTGTTCGTCTGCAGGGAGAGGAATGTTGCAACTAAAGTCGAAACAAACAAAAACTACTTCAGGTGCCCCCCCCCCCCAAGGCAGCTCGAAGGAAGAAGACGACGCTGGTAGATCCAACCTGTTGACCTCTCCTGCCCTCCCATCCACGACGTACTACAAACAGCCTCCTAAGTAGTATGCGTCCACCAGAGCACGTGCTTGATCCCTGAGACAGCTAAAAAAAAAGACGACGACGCTCATAGAAAAAAGATTTCGGCCGCTTCTGCGCTCACCTCTGCGACCTAACAAACGGCCTCCTCAATCGTATACGTCCTCTTGCACGTACTTGCTCTCCGAGGCAGTTAAAAGAAGGACAATTATCTTGATAGATCCAACCTGTCATCCGCTCGTGCGCTACACTTCGCAACCTATTAAACGGCCTCCTCAATCGTATACGTCCTAATGCGCGTGCTTGCTCTCTGAGGCAGTTACAAGGAGGACGATTATCCTGATAGATCCAACCTGTCATCAGCTCCTGTGCTTGGCTTCGCGACCTAATAAATGGCCTCCTCAATCGTATACGTCCTCCTGAACGTGCTTGTTTCCCGAGGCCGATTAAAGGAAGACGATTGTCCTGATATATTTAACCTGTCATCCGCTCCTGCGCTCCACATCGCAACATATAAACAGCCTCCTAAATCGTATACGTCCTCGTGCACGTGCTTATTTCCCGAGGCTATTAAAAGGAGGGCGATTATCCTGATAGATCAAACCTGCCATCAGCTCCTGTGCTCAGCTTCGCGACCTAATAAACGGCCTCCTTAATCGTATACGTCCTCCTGAACGTGCTTCTTCCCCGAGGCAAATAAAATAAGGACGATTATCCTGATAGATACAACCTGTCATCCGCTCCTGCACTCACTTTCGTGCGACCTAAAAAACGGCCTCTTCAATCGTGCACCTCCTCCTGCACGAGCTTGTTCCCCGAGGCAGCTAAAAGGCAGACTATGAAGCTGAAGAATCCAACATGTTGGCCGGTCCTGCGCTCACCTTGGTGACCTGATAAACGACCTCTTGATTTGTATATGCCCTGCCCTTCACGCGTAGCAATGGTATCAGAGAGTTCTAACCCAAATAACCTCCTCTTGTTGTAGAACCTTCTGCATGATACCTTGAAAAATTCACGTTACGAAGTTTAGTAATCACTACCGTATCGCCACCCAGCGAGTACACAACGGGTGCAGTAAAGCGCGAAAAGCGGAGGGGAATGAGCTGAATCTTGGCCATAAGGTCATATCGCTAATAAAGCAGTAACGCCAGTGTTTGTTCTCGGGGCTCATAAGCAACTACACATTGTTATGCGGTGTATTTTTTTTCAGAAGAGCGGCCCGGCGCACACGCAGCAGATTGCGGCCTGTGTTGGCTTCAAAGCAATCTTCTTTCCTGGTAGCCATTTTAACATCGATTATGGGAAAGCCAGCTGTTCTTTTTTGCCCATAGCAAAATGCACCTCGCTGCTTACTTGCTATGCCGCAACAGACGACATAAAATTTATACATTTTTATGACGCTACTGGGCCACCATACTCAAAAAGGTGGTGACTTGCCCTATAAACTGTGAACATGATATGACATTTGCGTAAATTTTATTATTAAGCTTACATAATTTACGTAACTAAAATTGACACAGCAATAAATAAAAACAAACCCTGGACACATCTACAAGCTTCTTATGTACTGTTTTTGATATGTGTATGATATTTGAATCTTCGTGCATGCTATCTCCATCAAACGCATGATATCTACATAATTGTACCACTTGAGCGTGAACCGGTGCCTGTTTTCACAGCGTTAGTAATAAGCAGCCATGAAGAAACAGCTATCACAGTATTTATCCTCTTTCACTAAAAGATAGATTCGTTCGGTGAAACGCTGTCAAAGAAATAATTGCTGAACTGTTTTCTGTCAATCATTTTATTACTAGCAGCAAACAAATGAAGGCCTGTCTACCACGCTGCGTCAACCACTAAACATGTATTCTCGCATAGCTGTTGTGAGTTGAATGAGTTGCAGTTGAACAATTCTCCATTTCTTTGACACCTATTTGTACGACTGTTGTAGTAATATAGATTTGAGAACCTCCTTCCAAAATGTAGACGGTGGTCGCAGTAGCAGGCTGCAAATATGAAAACAGTATCACGATAACTAGGTAAAAATATCACAATGAATTTGTGAAGGACACATTTATTATTACAAATAAATGTAAAAAAATCACGTCAGATGAAGTGCATTGTTTGAATTTATGTAATGTGAATCAATGAGTCAAAAGTCGCTAAGACGGATTTTTGGCGATGCCTCTTAGGCAACGTTGGATCAGATAATTGAAGAAAATTGAGTAATTTTTGTCATCTGGAAGGCATACCTGGCATGTATATTACCATAGCACATGCAGAATAGAACATGCCTAAACGTAATGTCAATACTCGCGTTTGACCACAAACATTGTGTTTATGCAAATTAAGTGCATGCTGAAGTGTACCGATCAATAGATCATACGTAGTGCCCGTTACCATATTCCTCAACAGATGTCTGAAGTGAACTACTGTTTGACGACTACAGGACTGCATATTGCTCCCTAATTGTTTTGCGTTATTCTGATCTGGCTGCACCCACGAACGCAATTGTCTACTACGCGTAGCAGGCCATGCCTCATTTTTTCGAAACATAACAGCTGTTTCACACTTTCATCTTGAGATTACCTAGTAGGCACTTGCAGCCGTGTTCGTTCTAGGTGTAACATGAGCAGAAAAAATTACGCTGGATCACTTCGTAATACCGGTACATCTCAATGACATGCAGATTGCCTGCCGCACCCCCTCCTTCGAATTCCCTGGCCTCGCCGTCGAACAAAAGGGCGCAGTGATAGCCGCACTAGCAGCAGTGGTTCATGCAATGCTCGCGATGCTGCCGGCTGACTCTCGGGTGCTAGGATTATGTTCCTCAGCTCTTTCCGCACATGTGCTCATTGTGCTAGGAATTCAGTCAGCCAGTTGAGACCTCACCGAGGACAGCAGGACTCTGACCCACGAGGTCATCAGGATTATGTTTTTCTTCTGCCTGGGCTAGGTGCTCAGGCAAGAGCTTCACGTGCTCCTGCTTTTCTAGAGCGCCACTCCGGCCTACTCAACGGCTTTCTTTACAGCGGCGCATGATGCGTGGAGACTTGACTTCACATACGTATGATGGGTCCCTCTCTTTCTTTTGTTTCCCGCTGTCTCTTCACTTCACATATATTTCACTATTGTCACCTCTGTGCACTACTTCTTAGGTGTGCTCCCTTGTTACAGGTATTTGCGGGGTGCAATTTCCCTTTCATTTCATAGCTCAATGCAAAGCCAAATATAAGCTTCTAGGCATGTATTTGGTTTGAATTATGTGGCCGCAGTCAAAATAGCGACCTTAAGTGCCTTATGCGATCAGTTTCGGTATGCAAAGTGTTATAGCGCGTTATTATAGCCTGCATATGTTCAGTCCTGCCTGTTGTAGAGGAATATAGAATTGTAGCCTACGAAAATATAACAACGATAAGGAAATAACACATCAAGGACATATGCTTTATTTTGTTTTTTAGAGCCAAAGCTGTATATGGCCAGGAGAAACGAATATCTGTTCTTCAGCGGTGTCATGAGCAGTCTCCATTGGCTAGGTTATCAGCAACGTCGTTCCCAAGCATAAATACGGAGTGCTTGAGTCGGAACATCTTGAATTATCCGTGGAGTTATTTTAGTTGCATTGGTGAACGTAGGCAGGTTTTACCGAAGTGATCCAAGGAAAACGACCCTGTATAGTTGAGACATAGCGGCTGTGGACATTCCTCAACTCATTCCAGCGAAGAACTTCAACGAATGTGAGATTACTGTCAACTGCTATTTCATGTATGATGAATAAAGCTTCTTGAGAGCTCAGTGTCAAATATAACACCTAGCCACTTGTACAATTGGACGTTAGGTATCCTTTCGCCATTTACCCTCACGCTTTAGCTCTCCATTGGTTTGCACGTAAATGCCCCAAGCACACAATTCCAAGGGGAAATTTCCGAAAACTTTTTATGGGGGTAAATAGAAGCTTGAGTTTAGGCTCTGTCAAATCACGCTCGCAGCTGTAGGTGTGTCACAGCAGCCGTCCACATGAAGATGTCGGCTGGGCGTAGATAGACAATCTGACTGTATTTGGCAAATGTTCATGGTGAGTGATTAGCACCTAATTGAGCACCTACAGGGTTAAGAAAAGCCACCTGGAGAAGAACATGGGGGCTTTTATGTAGCGAAGTGTCGCCGCCCTCGGTTCTCACGAAAAAAGTAACCTTTTCTGCAAAGGCGAAGCGATGAGCACGATTGAAACAAATTGGAGGGTGACGCGCAGAATGGTAAGCTGATCGAAACGTTCCCCGCGTTTCTGGCACACAAATCATGCACTAAACGTACTCACATGTACACATGAACTCAAATAAACGTCCCTTGTGTTACTTCGCTGTGTCTGAAAAGCGCTCTTTTCGTGCAAACGGAGACTGTGCAATAATTGCGGTGACCTTTGCGCGCCCGCTAAATACAACAGAATCGTTCCGGGAAAATTCGAAGGCCAGCCAAAATGTACCATTCTCCTCACCACCAGATAAATGCAGGCGAGTGAGCGCCGACCTCCTCCTCACCGACGGGCAAAGTACGCGTGGGAGATGAAAGCGCGCCGTCGCGTCATGACAATGTGGCGACGCGCGCTCATTACGCTACCTTGCTAGTATTACTGCAAACACGATAGTTCCCCTCCCCCATTGCAGAGATGCCCGTCACCATCGGTAAGTGGTTGATATAAATCGACGTGCTCCTCCATGGCTAAGTGCTTAACGCCCCGTATTCACGTTGTAGAGGTCTCACCTTCGATTCCGCGCGTCGGAGTCTTTTTATGGCTCATTTTTTGTTCTTCGGTTTTCATACAAATTGACCCGTATGCATATACGGCGAGTGACGGCGATGCCAACGCCGACGTCAACGTCAACGCCAGCTGCAACATCTAGCCGAGAGTGTCCATATAACTGCTGTCGCAATAAAAGGGCCGCTCAGAGAGATAACTGCGCAGCCACTAAAACATGCGACTGGCCATTCCTGCCATTTCTTTAAAGCGACAACGATGCTTCATGCGTTACGTTGTTATACGCCCCTTTAGCATTGAGAAGCAGAGAATCGCAGAGCCGGTTACGGTCCTTCTTTTGTTCTGTGTAGGCAGCCTGGTCGACGATGCTATCAATTAACGGTCAACCACGGCGTATTTCGTCATGGTGTCTTGGTAGATGTTGTGTTGTTCCAGATACCCTTCTAGTTGTCCTAGTATCACCCACTCCAGTACTATGGCCATGCAACTAGCCAGTGCAGTCTGCCGGTACGACGTTAGCATCATTGGTGACTTTCCAGGCTTCAGTAACGAAACCAGATGACAGGTCTTCCACTTAACGGGGTGTTGCCCTCTCATGACGATTCATTGCATATCTCGAGGACGGCAGCTGTCGCACGCAAACCTTTGTGGCACATTGATCTCTCAGAAGTTCTATAAGGATTCAGTGCTCATGTTTGTCTACACAAAGCCAGTGGTGCTTTAAGGTCATGAATTGAGAAGCATAGGTAGATATGACGATCGCGTAATGGCGGACCGCCACGTGACGGCCTAAGCTAATTTGAACTGTGAGCTGACCAGTAATTTGGCACAGAACTCTTGCTCCACGTCGACCCCCAATCACTGTTGTAATAAGGCTAGAGGCCCAATGAAGACCACTGGACGCGACTTGTCGGGAGCCCTTTTACTCTTCTGCTTACGTATAAAAAATACTTGAGCGATCTAACAACACGCAAAAGGCAGCCAAACGTTGTGACCCTAAATTATCTATGCGGCGTTGCATCTTCTTCTGTAAGCTTTAGTGGTCCGTAAAGCGTCGATTGCTTTCGCGCTGTGGTACCATCGTTTCGCACGTTGTCAGACAACCTGAAGTCGCCCGAATTTTATACAAAATGTGTTGTTTTTGAATAGCACGTTGTCAGACAGCCTGAAGTCGTCCAAATTGTATACAAAATGTGTTGCTTTTGAATAGCATGCGAGTGTGCACACCATGTCTTGCATGGTGCACTTGATCGCCTCTATGAAGTGAAATGAGTTGTCTTCACATCGTTTTGTTGTAAGAAATCGAAACTTTGTCCAGTTCACTACTTGAATATTGCCGGGTACATCACTAGGTGATAATCCTCTTATCTTTTCATGGTTGGAAATGTGGTCGTTCCTATGTTTTTTAGATGCGGAGCATCTTATACTCGCGCCTTGTAGTGCGCCGTCCGCGCCGTCCGCACCGTCCGCACCGCTTCTCGAACATTCGACAGCTGACGCGCGCGCATGCGCCGTCGCGCCGTCGCCCACTCTTCCACCATCTGTGCATCCCTTCCTCCTCTACACACCGCGCGCGCTTCACTCCTCCACCATCTGTGCACCCTTCCTCCTCTACACACCGCGTTCGACATCTACAATTCTCCTGATTCTCCAGTGGACGCGCATGTGGCGTCGCGCTTCGAGAACATTCAACAGCTGACAGTGCATGCGCCGTCGTGCTGTATATATACTCAAGGTCGGCGCTCGCTCGCTCAGTTGCCGCTCGTCGGTTGGTTTGTACGGCGCGTCGACGTCCAAGGTCGCGGTGAAATGAATTCCAACGAATCCACAAACACAATGATCGACGTCCCTTCGACCAGCGCTGCCCTTTCGCATACGTGTGTACGTGTTCACTCATTTAACACCCCCTCCTACAACCACGTTAACCAATTTAGCCATCCACCCAAGTAAGTCGCAATTTAACACCCCATTTCACAACCACGTTAACCAATTTAGCCATCGACCCAAGTAAGTCGCACTTTAACACCCCGTTAACCAATTATATGGTCCGCATCCTCCTCAGTGTTCCCCCGAGGGAAGCTGCGGGCAATTTTTTTTATGTCCACAGACCATTTGGCACATCTCTTTAGAGTTCAAGAGACAAAGGCCAAGTCGAGGCAGCTGCTGTATCATGGGCCACGCAAAAGCGTGGGACTGCCAGCATTTTACAAGAACAGCTTATTGTCTCAAGGAAACGTTACCACACTTCTGCCTTTTGTGCAGATCTTCGGGCTCGCCCAGGCTTACTGTGGGCGTTGAAATCACGAAACATAATCCATGGGCCAAGGATAGTATGGTTTGCAGTATTTTGTGAACAAATTCATTTGTTGTAGACAGGTAGTCACCGATAACGGGGATGATAAGGTTCCTTTTCTTCACTGTTAGCCTTACGTATTGGTTACCGTCGTCAGCTTATACAGGCTGAAGAACGTGTCAGTTGATGGCTAATAAACAGCAGGAACTTACTTCGGGATCAAGAATGGCCACCATCACAACTGCACCTAAGTGATAGCCTAACTCCACTGAATGCCCCTCAGCAATGACCTCTGCCCCTCAGCCATGACCTCACTCCTCCGCTGAACAAATAGGCAAGCGCTCTCTGTGTATCTTGACAATTTCACGCCAAATGAGATCAAAGAGGCATGACTTAACGCTAGGAGAAACATCTTGGCAAATGATATACTCTACATGAATGCACTGAGCACACATCAGAAGGTGACGCAGCTGGGTAACATCGAAGCCAAATATATCAAAATGAAGTCTATGCGTACCATTCGAATACAGTACAATCTTTTGTCCACAACCCACCTCAATTATATGGATACGATTGAGATTCGTCATTATAGTAAGTGATGCGGCATTCGATAAATGGATAGCTTTGGTCTCCACATCTGTGTATATTTTATTAGGTATATTTATTTGAATGTTCTGACTAAACAAACTAAGTAATCATGGCATTCTTACCTAACGGACTGAATGTGCAGTACAGATGTGTCCATGTACTTTGTGCCAAGTAAAACATTTTGGAACCAGCACCAGACGCACAGGCTTCACCCATTTGTTAGTGCGCCCAAATTTAGTGCCGAATATAAACAGCCATGTTACTTGACAAGTTATGGCAATGCCTGAATAAAATAAAATTAGCGTACTAGTATTAGGGAAAAAACCAGGACATAGCGTGTGCGTCCCAACGAGGGAGAAGCCAACGGTGCGCTAGTTACGTTCTTCAGGACTAAAAAAGTTCTTCCCTTCGTTCATCCATACCTGTTGGATACTGGCACTGATTGCGGTTTCGTTGTCGGTCACAAACTGAAAAAGAGTGAATATAGTAAAGTTTTCAGGCACCTTCTTTAAAAATTCAGCACCAAGTTTTTTAATGCCACACTTAATTGAGCTCTAGAAATCCCGTATATATACATTGACTAGAAATATGCACATGCCAAATTATACAGGTTATGATGGGCTATTGAAAAAGTGCGCGTTCGTCTAAAATAACACGGCCCTGGACAAAACCCGATGTTATACGACGGTGAACGTGAATTTCTGTTTTGTTCATTTGATGGTTTTGGTACGTTATAACCCACATATCAATCAATCAATTACCTTGTCTTTTGCGCACGAAGTTCTGTTGGTATTTAGGCTTATCGTTTGTGCTTTCGGTTTAAGAACTCGTCAACAACAGGCTAGCCATTGTTCACCAACATCATCAACGTATATATGGGAAAAATTCTGGTGACCTTGGAACTAAAATCATTCCCCAAAATATTTGTATTATAGATTCGTGTAATCGAAAGAAGTGAAGCTCGGAAACGTTATGCACGCAAAAAAAAGAAGTGCGTGAATGTGGGAACAGCATTAAAATGTAGGAAACTGTTGGCCATGTGCTATTTGCGGGTGTATTTGGCTGAAGCTTGGGTAGAATAATTATTTTCCCGGTATTATTTTCAGAATGCAGTTCATACTACAGGGGGGCAGATACGTTTTGCTTCTTTCATAGTGTTCGCAGTGGGATCTTGCATTTATGCAGGACACAGAAATTGTGAACTGCTAGGAATGTAAGTACGTCATCTATACTTTCGCAACATTTTTTGGCCTGGGCGAGTTGGTCAACCATGAACTTGGTTTGTATTACCTAAGTACATATAAACAGGAAGCCCGACACAGGCGAAAAGTAGCCGCCAATAAAAAGACTGGTAGGCGCAAGTTAGCGCCTACCTTTTTTCATGTGTCATGTTTTTTTTTCTCATATGTACCGCGCTAACTCAAGATATGTGCTAACTTGCGGATACGGCACAACATCAATGCGTAAAGCGGCTTCAAAGGTTCCTGCCAGGCAACAATGAAAGAAGAAACATAAAAATTCAAGACATCTTACTTCGTGGATTCCGCAGCGCATGAGTTCCTATGAAACAAAATAGACACATACAGAGCAGCATGAAAGGCAGCGTGTGTAGGAACAATCTCGCCATTACAAGTTCTTCTGTCGAAAGTGATAACAAGTATGAGCATGTATATTCTATAAATGATAACTAATTGTCACTTCATATAGCAAGGAAAACATTCATCTAAGGAAACGAGACGATTGCTAGACTCTGCGTCAGTGCACACGAACCTTTTAAACAAAAGAAAAAGATATGCGTCACACATTTGCGCCCAGTTTTGGGAATTGATGACTGAAGGGGGTGAATGCAGAACGTCTTCACAGACAGATGGTTTATATGCTGCCTTGGCTTATTGAGGCTGACGAAGCCCGCAGTAGGCAGATTCAAGAATAAACTTTTTGGAGACCTTATGCAAAATCCGCTGCCATCTTGCGGGCGCTGTGCGCGTTTCCGCCATGTTGAAGGCTATCCGCACTCCACATGTGCCCAAACGAAGCGTACATAGCAACATGAGGCGGCTGGTGGAGGCGGTAATGCTGACAGATTTTTATGTACCACGTTGATTAAATCGAGGGAATACGAATGCTGAAAAAGATTTGTGGGACAATAATTTTTTATTAGGTTTCCTCGCTGCCCACGCGAAGTAGCAGATCGTTCCGTTGCTCCGGATGCTCCTTTCGCCTAGCAACGTGCTTACGGTCACCTTTGCTTATATATGCGAGACCTGAGAGCATCTTCACTCATCAGAGAACGCTTTTGTGTCCAACCAGAACGAGACAGTTTTCACGCTGTGTACTGAAGACAAAGGTGAAACAGCTTCGTGTACAATAGTGACAGCTGCATGGCAACTACTCGCGCATGCCTGCGCTGCTGTTAACAACATTACTTCGTTGTATTACATTGTGATGAAAGTTATATGATTGTCAGCTTCCTCGAGAGCACCATCAATTCTAAGCCAACAAATCGATCGTAGTGGTGCGTGCTGTTTGTAGTTTTTTTTCCCGGCTGTGCAGTTTAACAACGTAGCGTTGCGTGGGGCGTTTCGCGCGCTTATTGCTTCAGTATGCGTAGTTTCCAAGACATTTATTTGCTCTTAACGAAGGAATTCAGAAGGGTGGCTTGGATACTTCACCCTCGTTTATTTTTTTTGAAATGTTAATACCTCAAGGAAAGCACTGATTAGGTTCTCCGAAAATGTGATCCATTTTTGGGTAGATACTCTATCTACTCCTGCGTCCTTTCTCATGATAACAAATGCTTGAAATGTGTGGCGCTTTTTGCATTGAGAAAACAGAAAAAAATGTTGGTCTTGGAAATGTGATACATTCTACCGTAAGTCCGCTATTGTTAGTTAAGTGCTGAGGGGGTTTTGTAGGTATGCAGTCGTCAATGCAAAACTACCTTGCTGCAATGGTTTGAAATTGAATAGGTGCCGGCAGGCGTGGAAAGAGACATTGCCAACACGTTTACATGTAGCGCATTGTGTTAACATCATCACATGTCAGGATGTTCTTCAAAAAAGTGCCAGATAATGGGAATCTAGCTGTTTGTTGAAGCAAGTAACACTACATATGATCTCTTTAGAGTGCGCGAAATGCATATATTTTGAGATTTTAATCACGTAGTAAGTCTATAGGTCAAATAGGTCAGTGACTACAGCAGCGAGGTAACTTTTATTTAAAAATTAAAAACCGGTCAATCTTTCACATAAAATAGAAGTACAATTCTTGAGGTCGACGTCGGCTATCCTTGATAAAATGGTACGCTTTGAAATAGGTGGACAGGCCTCAGCGCTCTGCCAAGCCCTGCCACGCGCTGTGAAGGCTCTTCCCAACCATCACATACTGCTCGCATTTCATTCGTACAGGTAACAATGCTTTATTCACTGCACTGAAAATAAACCAACAAAAGTTGTAACGTTGTGGAAAAATTCGCTAACAACGACGCCAGCCTTGAGGCTCGATTAAAAAAATTGAACCTTTCTTTCATTGTGAGGCAGCTGTTTACTCGTAATTATGGTGAACGTGCTAACTACGTAATGCTTGTAAGGAATGGAGACCTTTTCACACTCTCCTGATGTTTTTGTTTATGTACCGATAGCTTCTGTCAATGCACCCTCAAGCCACAAGTTACAGCCACCACCGCAACGTGGTTTTAAGGCAAGCGTCCAACTGGGTACCCACTCGGTAGCTTCGTTGAACCTTCCACAGATTCGTTGAACGTTCCACAAGGTGTATTTGGTAGAACTTTCAAACGGTGAATTTACACTGACCACACTGATATCAGTGAGCAAAGTGTCGGCTATTGATAACCTCAACTGCGGTGCGGCGCGTCACCAACTATGCAAGTGGCATCGAAAATTTGATCATTACCACTGGTGATTGATTGATGATTTGATTGATATGTGGAGTTGAACGTTCCAAAACCACTATATGATTATGAGAGACGCCGTAGTGGAGGGCTCCGGAAATTTAGACCACCTGGGGTTCTTTAACGTGCACCCAAATCTGAGCACACGGGCCTACAACATTTCCGCCTCCATCGGAAATGCAGCCGCCGCAGCCAGGATTCGAACCCGCGCCCTGCGGGTCAGCAGCCGAGTACCTTAGCCACTTGACCACCGCGGCGGGGCCGTTACCACTGGTGGTAGCAGTTGTTCGAGAATATAGTAAGTTCGTGCTTGCAAGCTCAAGCTTAAGCCATTACCATAAAATATGTACGTACTGATGGGATAGTTGTTGATGCACGATTTTCGAAGAAGTGGGCACGTAAAACCGCATAAAACACACACACACACACCGCACGCACACACTCCAACACACACACACAAACAAACGAACAAACACACTCCAGGCAATGAGATGGTAACGTGAACCTATAAAAATGAGCGTGTGACTTTGCCCGTCTGAAAAGGGAACGTCTCAATTTGTTAACAGAAGTTGAAGGTACACTCACAAAGCAAGAAAGTATAATGATTCATCAGTATAAGGAAGAAGCAAGAAACACTGTGCTCAGGTTAGCTACTATGCGTAAAACGGCTTCAGACACACGACACGGAAGACTTCGGTCTGTGCATGGCACCTTTGAGCTCGTGATGCCATCCGGGGAACTTCGTCTTCAAGAGAGCCAAGACACGTGGAAGTGTTTCTTATGGTCAGAAGTACCACAAAAGCAATTTTCCAGAGAGTCCACATCGGTAGCTTCGTGTTCAGACTAGTCCATGTTTGTCGGGTTCGTCTTCTACTTGGTGACACTTAACACGGTAGCGATGGCTGGCACACTTTTGCTGGCGTAGATGCAGATGAGTAAGTTCTTGGGCTGCTTCGGCGTTCTGTAGGTAGGCGGTGACGTAAAATATTACGTCATCAGTCATGTCGGGTAGCATGGTATTAAGCGTCGTTGCCGGCCTCCTTTCGCACACTAACTTGTATGGCGTCCTTTGCGTCATTTCCTGTACGAGACTTTCATATGCCTAGGCCACGTACCTAATGCTGTGATCACCATCCTATGCTCGACTTTGACGTGCGTGGCCAACATGCAGGTGATGGTTTTATTCAGCCGCTTTGTGAGGCCATTGCTCTAGGGGCGTTAATTGGTGATCCAGCGATCACTTGTTTTGCTGTATCTCTAGAGGTAGCCTGAGTAAAGTCGGCAGTAAAGGCCGTACTACTGTTGTTGATGAAGAGCTGTCGGACAGTATGATGAAGAACGATGTTTTTTGAAAACACTCGGATGCTCAGCTGACCCTACCTTTGGGCAGCTATTTCGCTTTGCGAAGCAGGTGAGGTAGTCAGTGGCTACGACGATCTATTTGTTTTCATCAATTTATGTCGGGAACAACCCCAATAAGTACATACCTATCTGCGGATATTGTCATGAGGTGGCTCGATGTGCTTCAGAAGTCCTACTGGTCATGCCTGTGGTGTCTTCAGTCGCAGCTAGCACTAGTATTTCGTAACATAACCAGCCACATCGATAATATCACTTTTGTTGTATCCTCGAGAGAGTGCACGAAAAACCTATAGGTGACCCGCCGTCGAGCCGTCATCAAGGCCTGCAACACCTTTAGTCACAGCGCCAACAGTAAACCGATGATACAGTTCGAGTGAGCTGGGCAGAAGTTATTTTTTACGATCATACTGTTTTTCAACAAAAATAAGACTGATTCTCGCCTGACTTTGTTCGGGACAACGGCAGTCCCACCCTTGAGGTACTACACGAGGCCGTGGACTTCAGAATGTGCTCGCGGTCGTCCAGCGAAGTGAACGCTATACTTATGGTTCCCAAGAAGCAGTCGTGCTTGTGGTCGCATTGCGGCGGTAAGTCAACGCGGACCCGAGAGTACCAGACTATTCTCCTAGATCTTCCGAGCAATGGTAATAAAATTGGCAGAACCCACGTACAATTGGAATCGATGATATGTGAAGGACGAATGGGAAATGTTGATAAGTCACCTTAAACTCAGCACAACGTTACGAGGTGCAGGTAAATGATGCCGTACATGACTTCCGTGTCATGATTATCATGTTTGGATATGTCTTTCACCTTCGTCATCTATTCACGTCACGTGATACCAAATTTAGCTTATATGGAGCTAGCGAAACGACCGCGAGCATGCTATGAGCGTGATATGTTGTCATGTTCTTACATGATACGCGTGTTACGATTGTCATGTTTGCACCAGTCATATATCTTGTCATTCATCGGAAGCGCGTAACACCTAATTAAGTATATGTGGAGCTAGAAAAACGGCTGCGAGCACATCATGAAGGGCCCAATATACTTTGACTTAGCGTCCACACGCGTGCACACTGGTCACAGTGACGCTACGTTAGGAAAACGTGAACACTCCTTAGTCTGACGCCAGCTGAACCCAGAGTCCTTCGGCACGGCGCAGTGGCAACCGGTGGGAAGTGCGGCATGCTGCATTTCGTGCCGATGCGTTGCCCAGACAACACTGCGTCTCCCTTTTTTCGTGATGGAGGTACGCCGAACGCACTGAAGCGCGCATGCGTCAAAGCAACGCAGCGC